GCTAATCTTCGTGCTGCTCATACTTCAGGAAAATCAGCATTTGGTCTTGGTATGAAGTTTCAATTTTTGGTTTTTCTAATCTTTTTCGGTTTTTCTTTTTGTAGATATGGAAAAAGGTATAGCTGCTGATATGGTCGAATTAGGTATACTTGAATCATTTCATCTTAAACGGCAAGTTGTTATTAGGGCAGCTAAAGCAGCTGAAATGGTATTATGTCTTGAGGGTGGGTGTGGGTGTGAGGCATGGGGTGTGGGGTGTGGGTGTGAGGCATGGGGTGTAGGGTGTGGGTGTGAGGCATGGGGTGTGGGTGTGAGGCATGGGGTGTGGGGTGTGGGTGTGAGTGTCCTCATTCCTCGGAGATGCACACTCCATACCCATACCCACACCCACATTCGACTTTTCTGTGGCGTAGATCATTGTATCCTCGACTTTTATACATCATTTTCAAACGAATAAAATTCTCAATACAATATGTCAAATTACAATTATTTTTTTCGCATCCTAAGATGAAACCTATTGTCGAACAATCTTTTTTTTCTTTGATCATGATCTTATGATCCCGTCAAACTGTACTTAAAAAAATGTTTCTCCTCTTCTTACAGCTATTCGTGGTTGCTTCTCGACATGCTGTTGCTTTGTCTGAGAATTCTCCAATTTCCAGTAAAACATTGTGAGCATAGAGTACTTGGAAAAATTAATTGCCATTGTTCGGCTTTCAGTATTATTCGAAGATAGATGTGTATTCAAACTTCTCACAATAAACCTGTAAATATTAGAGCAAGAACATTTGAGTGAAGAGAGAAAATTTCTAGGATCATCTTTTCAGTATTGGGCCGATCAATCTGAGGTTCGAGATCATTTGATATCATTAATGATTGAAGAACTTGAAGATATTTCAGCCCATAAAATTGTACAATGTATCACGTTACTCAATAATATGATAGGAATTTATTAGAAAAAAAGAGAACTATAAAATGGCCATGACATATTCTGATGACGCAAGTTCTCTTTAGAATCAACTATCAGGGTGGGTGTGGGTGTTATTGGGTGTCAATGTTGATCTTCTAGACACATTACACCCACACCCACACCCACACCCACACCCACACCCACACTCACACCCACACCCACACCCACACCCACACCCACACTCACACCCACACCCACACCCCACACCCACACCCACACCCACACCCCCACCCCCCAGCCACACCCACACCCATCCGCCAATACATATCCTTGTTACACCCT